GAAGTACCTGGTGTCAGCATTTCTTGTTGTTGTGAGATTGCACATGCACATGTTCTAAGTGTGCTATAATTATTGTATCCACTTATGTGCTTCAGTGTATGCACTTTGAATATTTGGAAGTACTGGACCTGTATTACTAGGTTAGAGCTGTGTGTTTTTCCTCAACATGAAAGATCAGGAATGCTTTCAATACCTTAGTTAGAGAATTCAGAGGTGAAATTTCTGTAATGACAATGGTTATAGATTTGGTTTACAGAAAAGCAATTACTGCGTATTGCTAATAAAACATAGACACTCCATTTATTTAACAAATGTCTTCTGAGCTGGATGTGGTGGTGCAGGCCTTTGATCCCAGTGCTCCAGAGGCAGAGGCAGGCAGATCTCTGTGAGTTCCAGGTCAGTGAGTTCCAGGCCAGATGGGGCTACTGGGAGACCCTGTCTCAAAAACACCAAAAATAAAAGTCTTCTGTATAATTCTTCCCTGCTATTAACAATAAGGCAAAACTAATTTATCTCCATGGAAACTGTCAGGAAACAGTAACTTTCTTATAGCTGTTTTCATGGCCTCATTCCTTAGACTGTAAATAACAGGGTTGAGTGTTGGGGGAAGTACTGTGTAAAATACAGAGAGCATGAGGTCTAGAGCTGTTCTTGAATCTGAAGTTGGCTTTAGGTATGCAATAGCACCTGTGAACAGAAAAAATGAGACCACACAGAGATGGGGCAGGCAGGTGGAGAAGAACTTAGACCGACCTTCTGCAGAGGGCATCCTGAGGACTGTGGAGAATATCTGGATATAGGAGAGGCAAATGGCAGTGAAGCAGGCTGTTGATACCACAGCCATGAAGACAATCACTCCAACTACTTCAAGGTAATCATTGGAGCAGGAGAGCTTGAGCAACTGGGGGATATCACAGAAGAACTGGTGGATTATTTTGGTTCTGCAGAATCTGATAGAGAATGTGGTTGCTATGTATGAGGTTCCTGTGATTGCTCCACTTATCCACACTGCTGACACAGCCCACTTGCACATTCTGGGACTCATCATGACCTCATAGTGCAGTGGGAGGCAGATGGCCACATAGCGGTCATAGGACATCACTGTGAGAATGCCCACCTCACCCCAGGCAAAGGATGTGAAGAAGAAAACCTGCAGTACACACTGAATATAGGAAATATATCCACTTCCAGTCAGTGAATTGTGAATAGACTGGGGGACAGTGACAGACAGGGAGGAGAGGTCGAGAAGGGACAGGTGCTTCAGGAAGTAATACATTGGAGATTGGAGCTGTGGATCCAGCGTTGTGATGGTGATTATAATGAAATTACCCACCAAGCCCAACAGATACACTAGCAAGAAGAGCAAAGCATGTAGGATTTGCAGGTCCTGGTTGTCAGAGAACCCCAGGAGGAGGAAGCCACTCACTGTGGTTACGTTTGTCACAATCATGTTGAGAGTAGAAATTTTGGAAGCAGCTGGGAAATAAACATGTGAAATTCAGTAAAAAGAGAATACAAAAAAATTATGACATTAATCAGCATTGCTTGTTTCAACAGTTAATGGTAGAGAAACTGTAAATTATCAGTTGTGTACTTGATGTGAGAGAAAGGCTGAAGCTCACATGGTTAGATATGTGGGGTTCACAGTTTTAGTTAGAAAGCAGTTTCTACAGGAGGATGAGTCTGATATCAAGTTATTGGTACTATTTCAGAAAAAAGTTTATTTGCTCCATAAAATCGTGTTTCTCTTTCTACTGTAAAGCCCATTACTTTAAAGTCATTAGTATGAATACAGTGTTAGGTTATTGATGAAAACTTTCTGAACTTTGGCTCTGGTACATTTGGGTAGGGCACTGAGTTGAAGCAGTTCATATATGACCCTGTAAAGAAAACATGACTTTTGATCTTTCATTCTCTATGGACAATTAACATTAGCATCCTTTCTAGAAGACAGCATGGGCATCATAGTGAGAAACTATTTTACTTTGGCCGTAGGGGCTGAATGAGTTGTGTTACTCTTTTCCTGCTACAATCATAGTCAGTGGATCTGAGATTGAAATCAAAGCAAGAACAGTGTCTATAAGGAACACCCATAGGCTTGTACACTCACTACACACAATTCTTATACACCTAAATCAGGTTGGATGTTTACCTTCTTGTATTAAGTATCATCTGGTGTTTACAAATTTCTCTTTGGTTTCTACTTGTACTTAACTCCAGTTTATATCACTTGCACAGCTACATCCTTGGAACAATTACTGAACACACACTATAAGCAGCTGCACTTGAAAAGAAAGTAAAAATGTGTGGAATGGGTAAACGTTGGAAGGACAGCAATCACACCTGCAGTGTGAAACCTCAGAAGTAGATGAGATTCACAGGCGTCTCCCTTCCTGATAACAGAGAAGTCAGTTTGTATTTTTCAGTCCACAGTTAGATCTATGCAAACTGAAGATGATTATTCATTCTCCCTCTCTGAAATGCCCCTGGGGTTTGAAGTCTGATCAGAGGTCAATGTTGATACTCACTCTTCCCCAGGTCATTTGTGGTGTCAGCAGCTAGTACAAAGGACCGACCACTGGTGTTTTTATGTTTACCTTTACCCCGTGGAATCTCATGTTTCCTTGTTTCCAGGTGACTCACCTGCTTAGAAAGGATGTCTGGTAAAATTCTCTGCCTCAAGACCAGATCTTCCTCATGCCTCCTAAACCCAAGATAGGCAATTTTTCCTTCTCATTCAGGTTTCTCCTGGGGAAAACACAACCAGTTGTCCATTTTTACACCGTCATTCTGCAGAGAATTAACCTGACAATTGTGACACCATTGAGTATTCATTGTTCATTGTTAGGTTTAGAGTAAAAATCTGTATTTAGTTCAAGTGTGGTGCAAGAATTCTATAATTCCAATATTCTGTTGGGGCAGAAAAGGAGACTGTGGAAGTGAAGGAGGAAGGAAGGGTAGGAGGGAGGAGGGGAGAAGAGAAAAATACACATCTACATGGATATTTGAATTTTTGCTGGTACACTTGAAAATTTCTTGGTTCCTAGTTCGTGTACTGGAATCATATATTTATAATTCCATAAGTTTCTCCCTTCTGTTGATTGCCACAAAAATCTCTAAGCACATAAGGAAAGCTTGAGTGACAGAGACCAAAGATGTGCAATACCTCCCTATTACTAAGTTATTTTTTCTGTCCAATTTTTATTGAAATGATAAACAGCAGTATTTTTGAACACAATTTTAATATTTGATCATTTAGTATTTTAATCTTCCATGTTTATACATGTTTACATTCAGACAGGAAATGAGCTATCTGAACTAGTTGTTAGATTCATTTTTTATAAGATGCATAGCATGCTAGAGCCCTTCACAACATAAGTGTCCATGAACAAAGGAAGTTCACTCTTTTTGCAGGTAAGCATTTTAATCTGCATTTAAAAGAAAATATTTACTTTCTAAATATTGAAGGGAAATTGAATGGTGAGGTGCTTTGGAATTCATACTCCTCTCAGGTAACTTCCATATCTACGTATATAAGGGTGTAGGGACATTGGAGAGGGGCCACATCTACAGTGAGAGTATTCCATCAGAACTTGTTTCTTCCATTTAGAGCAGGCAGTATGGGAAGTCATATTTGAACATGCATATATTCAAAATGAATCGCTGCCAATGCACTGTTTTTCTTTGAATACTCCGCATTTTTAACACACTTATGTGAATTGAATATACAGACTTAGTTTTCTGTTTCTTTTCAGTAATGTGAGCTTCCTAACTGGCTAGAATCAGAGTGTTAGCTTTGTAAATTTAATTTGAAAAGTACAAAGAGCTATCAGATTTTCGAAGAAATCCCTCTGTCCTCATCCAAGAACTCAAAACTCACCCCAGAAGTCTTGGTGTGCAGGTAGCTCTCCAGTCTGATTGGTGAGTTCTTGAAAATTTCTGGTCATGGTCACAAATTTGTCTAGATGTGTTTCACCTCTCAGGGACAGGTTTGCATCAAGGTTTCTTTGAGGAAGTGGGATCATCTCAAATGGAAGCCTGAATTTAATGACCAGAGCTCCCCATTTTCTTTAATCACTTGAGATTTCTATGCAATGGGAGAGGGAGGCAGGGAGCTTGGGGCTTTGTTGTCTACAGTTCAGCAGTTCTCAATCTTTTCTGTCCTGAGAATCTGCTGGAGAGCAGGTGACAGCTCAGGAGCCCCACATATTGGGATTTAGATACATGAAGTCTCAGTTGACACAAGGAAACCCAGTGCTGCCAGTAGCTGCTTCTGCTGGTTTGAGGACCAATGTGGACAGCTACTGTGTAGATAAGCCATATATTTCTGAGAGGCTAAAAGGAAACTTAAATATTCATTAATATGATTAGTTCTTTGACAGATTTCTAGAAAATTAGAAACAATGTTTACTGCTACCCTGAAATTGAGATGTATATATTAATTTCAGAGCATCATCATCTATTACAAAGATTCATGATAGTGAACATATCCATTAGAAAATCCTAAAACACAGCTTGCCCAAAAAGCATACAACATGACCAAGACATTAAAGATCATTCAAAGTAACAAAGGCTTTTTCTATACCAGTGGGAATAAGCTAACCCCACAATATTGCTTAGGTAATTTATGAATTCTCCTGTCTCTACAGATATTAATAATATTTTCAGTATTAACTCTATGAATAGATAATTATACAATGTAATTAATATTATTTACTTTATAGTTACATCTGAACTATATGTTTATATACTAATTATATTTTAAATGTCACCTAGCAGGTCTCAAGAGGTAGTTCAGCAGTTAAGAGCAATGGCTACTTTTGGTGACTTTCCCTATCTCTTTCTTTCAATATTAAAAATTTTCACTGTACAAATCTTTAATGTTTTGGTTGGGGTTCTCCCTGAGTATTTATTTTTTGAGGCTATTTTGAATGGGAGGGTTTCCATGAATTCTTTCTCTAGTTGCTTGTAATTAGTATATAGAAAGTCTACTCATTGTAATAAGTTGATTTTGTAACCTGCCACTTTGTTGGAAGTATTGATCATTTCTAGAAATTTTTTTGGTGGAATTTTTGGGACCTCTTATGTATGATATCATATCAACTCAATTAGTGACAATTCAACCTCTTCAATTAGTACTCTTTTACTTTCCTTCTCTTGTCTTATTCCTCTAGAAAGAATTTCAAGAACTATGTTGAAAAGCAGTGTCAATAGTGGACATCTTTGTCTTTTTCCCAATTTTAATGGGGAATGCTCCAATTTTCTTCATTTAGGATGAAGTTGGCTGTGGGTTGGTTGTATATAGTTTTAATTATATTGAAGTATATTTCCTCCAGTCCAATTCCCTCTAGGACTTTTAACATAAGTGCATGCTGAATTTTGTCTCTTCTTCATTTATTGACATGAACAAGTGATTTTTGATTTTAAGTCCATTTTTATGGTTTATTACATTTATTGACTTATGTATTGTTGGGAGCCTGGGAGCATGAGGTTCAACGGAGTCTCAGCTACCTCTCAAAACTGTTGACAGGCCCAAGCTGGCAACTTTCCATTCTGCCCGCGGCCTTGGCCCAAAACCTTGGCAGGCAGCCTGGGCCCACGACCTTGGCTTGCAGCCAGGGCTCACAACCTTGGCCCAAAACCTTGGCTTGAAGCCGGGGCCAGATAACCTTGCTAGATAGCCTTGGCCCATGGCCTTGCTCTCTTTTCCAGCAGACGGTTCTATTCTTCTATAATCGGAGATTCCTCCCTTAAAGTGCGTCAGAGCCCTTGTGCTCTGACTGATGTAATGGTTTGCAGTCTGTGTTCCTTTGTTCTCATTCTCTATAAAAACTCATTCTTGAGCTTCAATAAATGAGACTTGATCAGAAACCTGTCTTGTCTCCATTTCTCTTGTCCTTGCCTCATTTTCATCCCCACCCCCCAATCCTGGTACTTCGTGGAAGTTCTGCGGGTCGGAACCGAGTCACATTGTGGGGTGGCCTCCTGCAGCGTGGCACCCAATGTGGGTCCTGGATACTGGGGGACAACGTGAGGGACACGATGGAAGAAGAAGGGGTGCGCACCCATTCAAATAGTTTGGAGACGTCGCGGTAGCTTGCTGTGACCGAGCCAACAGGTAAGTTGGTCGTTCAATCATGGGGCAAGAATTAAGTCAGCATCAGAAATATGTGATACAGTTAAGAGAAGCTCTGCAGGCAAGAGGAGTAAAGGTTACAACTGAGGATTTATTTCATTTCTTTGATTTTGTGAAAGACATCTGCCCATGGTTTCCCCAAGAGAGGGTTATAGATGTAAAAAGATGGAGAAGAGTGGGAGATGCATTACAAGAATTTTATAAGGTGTTTGAACCAGGAAAGGTCCCGGTTACTGCCTTTTATTATTGGAACTTGATTAAAGAATTAATAGAAGAGATGAACATGAGCCAGTAGTGACAGCAATTGCTCGAGC